TCTTAGCTTAGGCCATGATCTCATGGTTCGTGAGTTCGAGCCCCATGTTGGCAACTCAAAGCCTGGAGCCTGCTTCGGATTCTATTTCCCGCCCTCTCTCCCTCTGTCCTTCCCCCGCTCACACTATGTCTCTCTCTCTCTCTCTCAAAAATGAACATTAAAAATATATATATTAACTTCTAAAGTAGAGTGTTTTTTTTTAAGTCAACTTTCAAATCAGAACTGAAACCCAAAAAGCTATTCCAAGTCCTGTTCTTTTGAATTACAATATAACTCTCCAAATGCCACTAAGGAAAAAGATCTGATGATTTGCACATTTGAAGAGCCAAGTGATGACACCATCTCAACCAGCCTAACATACTCATCCTACTTGTAGGAAACCAATTTATAGAATTCAAAATATCACCCAACACCAAACTGTATTTTTCAGTTTTCAATACAAGTGTCTGTCAAACATGTTCAACCATATTTGTACCAGCCTGCTTCCACCCACAGTAGGTCCTCAATCACTGACATTTAAATTGTCAATATCACTACACATATTTTAGTTAATTATCAAATTACCTCATACTATTTTATTCCATTTGAGGCTTAGAGTGCCTCCTCTTCATTGCCCCTACGGCAGTTAATAACAATCAGATGGAGGTAAGCACAGCACACTCCACCGGACTGTAATCTAGAACTTTCCTACCACAGTGATTTTCAACTTCAATAAAATCTGTAGTGTTTAATAACCACAAACTTTAAATTTTACTACCTTCTCAAATACAGGAACATAGGAAGACATATGAGGTTTGATTATTTCCGCTTCCCAATCTTCATCTCCCATGGTGGCTTCCAGTTCTATTTTTATCTAAATTTTTTTAAAAAAACGTACATGTGGCCTCTATTAGATCAGAATCATATACTTAACAACATGAACTGTCACAATTTCACATACACCTCCCAAAACTACTGAACTAGCTGCTGATCTTCCCCAAAGATCCCCTTATTTTTTATCTTTAAAAACGAGTTGAACTACTTAACCACTCTTGCAACCACAATGTCCCTACTGGGCCTTTCTCCAAAATCTGTTTACTGACTTTATCCTCTCCTTTCAAGGGTCTCCCAAACAGCTTACTGGATATTAAGGGTAAGGGAAATTTCTCAACTACTACTCCATGTTTCTCTCTTTGCACACCTCCCTTCAAAAGTAAAGATGTTTGGTTTGTAGGTTTTGATAGTTTACTGGGAGAGAGGGAGCCAGGGCCAAGGCCTTCAAGCTTGGCGGGGTAGGGGTCACTAGTTAGGTGGCCCAAATCCTTTCAACAATGGACAACTAGTTACTCTAAGGGGCATTTGTACACAAATGGTACTACAGCCACTCTTGTTCGGATAAAACGCCACACACAAGCTGGGCAAAGATGCTTCTTTACCTCCTCTACAGGCCTCTTCGCCCTACAGGCGTCAGCCGGGCTTTAAGACCTACACTGGCAAGTAAAGAAAAAGCCCCAAAGGACGGCTCCAACGCCCACCTGCCCCATCCGTTCTTCCTCTAGCCTAAACTCCCACTACCGGGAAACCCACAGGGGCCAGCAGAGACCCGCGCCAGGAAGAAAGTCGCCAGGCCACTCACCTCTCCGCTGCTTGCTCTCCCGGGGTCCTCTCAGGCGGCGACGCCGCTTAAACGGCTGCACGTGCAGGACGCTGCTGATTGCGTCAGGTGCGCAGCTTCAACAACAAATGGCACCAGGCGACGAGTGCCTCCAGCCAATCAGCGCTCAGACCACCGGCGTTACCCCGCCCCATCTCCAGCCGTGCGTTCCCTGTTTGCTCGCATTTGAGGTCGCTAAAGCCAGACCCGCTCTCTTCTTCACACAGTGGCCCGTTAGGCCTGGGGGTATAAGGCTGGCCGTGAACCACTTGTCTCTAGATTCTTGGGGCGGGGGTGGTCCTCAATGTGGAGATGCCCTAGATTTTCTCTGTGCAAGCCAAAGATGCACAGCCCCTTTTTACAATACCAAATATGTCCACCCCCCTTTTTATAATACCAAAAATAAAAGGGAAGATGAGTAATGCCCTGCCTCCAACCTCTTTGACTTGATCTTCCTGTTTTCTTGCTGTAGTCCCTGGCCGTTGGTCCCTCGGTTCTTTATTTCTGAGGTGCTTGCTTCACAACTGGGGATTCCTGCTGCCTCAGCATGTGGCTAAGGACTGTGGAGCTGGCACGTTTCCGTTTCCTCCCCATGACAGCTAGGATGAGGCTCTGTCCTGCCTCATCCAGGATGCTGTAAAAAAAAAAAAAAAAAAAAAAAAAAAAAAAAAAAAGTTAACCTTTCCTATAGAGTTGAAGGTGCTTCTCTTCAGGAAAGAGATGCCCTCTGATGCAGAAGGAAGGAAATTGTGCTGGATAGGTTCATTCATCAAGGCTTGGATTTGTGGCCCACCAATTCGTATCCCTACGGGTACTAGCCAAACCTAAGAGTGACCAAGGATCATTCCCATGCTTAATGCTCTGACCAATCAGATATTCTTGTTTTGCCTCACAAAAAAGTAAAGGAAATTTCTCAATATTTTCCCTTCAACCAAAAAGTATAACAACCAACTGCTTTAGAAGTATTGTTTCCATTTTTTATTTTCGTGATAGTCTGACACTCGGGCATAGAGGATTAGGCACTTTGCGGGTTGAACTTCTTTCATCTTTAGAACCACCATTATTGTTTCTGTGTCTTCATCAAGAATATGTCATTATTTATCTAGTTAGCACTATTTTCAACGTGAATTGTTTTTAAAAGATTATTGTTAACAAAGATCAGGGGCACCTGGGTGGCTCAGTCAGTTAAGCATCCAGCTTCAGCACAGGTCATGATCTCATGGTTTCTGGGTTTGAGACTTCTATCAGGCTCTGTGCTGACAGCTCAGATCCTGGAGCCTGCTTCAAAACACAAAGCACAAAGATCAAGCCAGAATATATTTTAACTGTCATTTTTAATAATCTCTATTTTTTAATGTTTATTTATTTATTTTGAGAGGGGGAGGGCAGAGAGAGAAGGAGAGAGAAAATCCCAAGCAAGCTCCACACTCAGCATGGATCCTGACTCAGTGCTTGATCTCACAACCACAAGATCATGACCTGAGCAGAAATCAAGAGTCAGACACTTAAACAACTGAGCGACTCAGGCACCCCAACAATTTCTAATTTTAAACTGGATTTTCACACCATGCCCTTTAAGAGGCAAGTACCTTAAATTGCTGCACGTGTATGGGAGAGCCACCAATACTCCTGGCATTCTGAATCTGTAAACAGGGGTCCTTGAGGTATTTTAACTCACTTTGAATTGAATGTTATTCTTTCAAAACTTTTTGTGTCATGGGAAAATATTAAGTGAAAAGAGTAAGGTATTAAATTGTGTAGATGAATGATAACCAAGTAGATTCTGTTTTACATATAGAAAACTTGGACATATTTTCTAAAATAATTTTTTTCAGAACAGAGTTAAAGAAAATAACTTTTTAAAATTTGTATGTTGTTGACACACACTGTTACATTAGTTTCAGATGTACAGCATAGTGATTCAACAAGTTTATACATTATGCTATGTTCACCACATAGCTATTCTCTGTCACCATAGGTCCCTATTACTATATCATTGACTATATTCCTTATCCTGTGCCTTTAATTCCTGTGACTTATTCATTCCATAGCTGGAAACCTGTTATAGCCCATTTCCTTTTACCCCTTTGGCTCATCTCCCTAACCCCTTCCTTTATGGCAACCATCAGTTTCTTCTCTGTATTTATAGATCTGATATTGCTTTTTTTTTCTTTTTAAAGTCTACATAGGACTGAAATCAAATGTAGATGACATGTAGATGATACATAATGACCAATACGATATTTGTCTTTCTCAATCTGACTTATTTCACTTACCATAATACTATCTAGGTCTATCCATGTTGGGTCAGATGCCACAATCTCATCCTTTTTCGTAGCTAGGTAATATTCCATTGTGCATCTATACCATATCTTTCTTATCCATTTGTCTATCATTGGACACTTAGGTTGTTTCCATATCTTGGCTACTTTAATAATGCTGCAATAAACAGAGAGGTGCATACATCTTTATGAATTAGTGTTTTCATTTTCTCTGGGTTAAAGAAAACACTTAGTCAACAATCTCTGCCATTCAGTCCTAGAACAGATTGTTATTGCTTTCAGGTATTGCAATGAAACACATCTATATGAAACATTCTATATAATTTTTGAGAGCTAGCTTTGGTTAAGAAAAAGTAAATTATAATGAAAACTAAAGTTTAATATTAAGGAAAGAAAAAATAAGCAATGGATGAAAATAATATAATTCAAAAACTGAACAGAAACAGTGAAAAAAAGACAAACACAATTAAGTAAATACTTGCTCTGTGATGTGTGTGCCAAGAAAGTAAAGCCAGTATGGGTATCTCCCATGTTTTGAAAGCTCACGTTCTGCCACTTTGCTTTTATAAAAGACTTACATTAGGGCCTTTTTTCACTAACAGAAAAATCCAAGGAGGATTTCTGCTTTTACAAAAAGGCAAAAGCAAAAATAGCATTCAGTGTTTTTCTGCAGTGATGCCTTATAGAAGTAGCATGACCTGGAGCAGCGAGTGACACTAAGCTCCTTCCCCAAGAACTAAGCATGTCAGCATCAAGCCACTATAGCTTTGAAGTGTGTCTATGAGCAACTCAATTTGTTTTGGTATCTGTTAGCAAGATGTGTCCTCAAGTATCAGAAAAGTCTAAGAGAGGTCATATATTTGGTCTGAGAAGTCTCAAAAACTTTTTCATATAAATTAATGGTAATTGTTTCTTCATTTGACACCATTGTGACTTATGAAAGGTTTCATAAGAACACTGCACTTTCAAATAGTGGAGGAGACCTGTATGTTTTATATTCAGGTTCTCTCTGACAAATCTTAAATTAGTGATGGTAATAAATTGCAACATAGGGAAAATGCAGGAATTCATTTAGTGATTAAATAGGCTTTAACTGAATACCTAGTGTGTGCCAGGTATTATGCTAAGTGCTACAAATACAATTAGCCAATTTCTCAAGAAGTCTAGGGAAGAGAATGGCATGGCTAATGGAATATAAAACCTTAAGATTTGTGGGAGTGCCTGTGTAGCTCAGTTGATTGGGCATCCAACTCTTAATCTCAGCTCAGGTCTTGATCTCAGAATCATGAGTTCAAGCCCCGCTTTGGACTTAAAAAAATCTAAAATCTTAAGATTTCTGTCATAGAAGATTCACTGTAAAGTTTATATAGAGTTTATCCAAATTCTGTACATCCCATATAATAAGGTAGGATGAGTTTCCTCAAAAATGTTTCATAGTTTAGAATCAAAGTTTGCAGTTAAGATCCTTTACACTTCAGAAAGAGGCATTACATTTTCCAAAGTAATGTAGATAAAGAGAATTGATATCTTAGACTTTTTATGTTTTCAATATTGTCTCCACATTACTCAAATAATGATTTTTCAATTGATGTAAACTGTGCCTAATATCATGTCAAGACTGTTAAATTTTTCTTTTAATCTTCCAGTAGGCTAAAAATTGGTCACCTCAAATGTTGGAGAATAGATGTTCATTCATAGGTACTAAGAATACTTGAGAATCTCTTACTATGCACATAACCATAAAAAAGATTCTTTTTTTAATTAATGTTATGGTTGGAGCTCTGTAAATCAACACAAAATAGATGGGGGGGGGG